CTTTCTTTCTTTCTTTCTTTCTTTCTTTCTTTCTTTCTTTCTTTCTTTCTTCCTTCCTTCCTTCCTTCCTTCCTTCCTTCCTTCCTTCCTTCCTTTCCTTTCCTTTCCTTTCCTTTCCTTTCCTTTCCTTTCCTTTCCTTTCCTTTCTTTCTCTCTCTTTTCCTTCCCTCCCCCCCTCCACTGTTTTTGCAATGCTCACTTGGGTATTTGCCCAGGGGTGGGATTAAATTATTTTAACAACTGGTTCTGTGGGTGTGGCTTAGTTGGTGGGTGTGGCTTGGTGGTCATGTGACTGGGTGGGCATGGCCAACTTGACATCACTCACTCCAAGGGGCGCTTCTCCTTGCCTGGCCTCTCATGACAGTGGGGATGCTGCAACGGTCGTAAGTGTGAAAAATGGTCATAAGTCACTTTTTTCAGTGCCATTGTAACTTTGAATGGTCACTAAATGAACTGTTATAAATCAAGGATTACCTGTACAAGAATACAAAAAGTTTCTTTGCTTGCAAAAAGCTGCCCTAAATACCAATCATTAGATTAAAAATACCTGCAAGCCAGGGTTACAAATCAGGCAGGGTGCTAGAGCACCTTGAGGAATGAAAGTAGCTAAAATGCAATGATAACTCTCAGCAGCCAACTCTTGCTCATAAAGTGAAACCCTTTAGCAGAGAGGTCATTTAAGCTCTCCAGAAAGAGCACACCCAGGAGAAGCAATCCTTACATCCATTTGCACCACTTAAAGATACCAGCTGGTCTCACTCATCTCACAAGATATCCTAAGGAAATCATCCAGATTTAAGGAAAGGTCACATGCCCCCCCAGAAAGGCAGTAAAAAAATCAGTGCCAAGCTTGCATCCTGCCTCTTGGAAGTACACCTCAAAAGGACAGTGCCAGATAACCACTAAAGCAGTGAAGGAAGACCCCCTCCCCAGATAGAAAAAGAAACCATGAGGCAGGAAAAAATTCAAAAAATAATTAAATCACAACAGTAGCTGTTGCTTGTTAAACCAATTACCAGAACAAATAGACACAGGAACTAGAAGATTTCTCAAACCAGTTTCTTTTCAGGAACAGATATTAATCTTTTTCCTTCCAAACAAAGCTGAATAGGGAAAATTATCCCACCAATAAACACAGGATTAAACGTCACCAAGCACAGAATTAAACTTCACCAAAAACCACTTTTAGACCAAAACTCAGAAAGGGTATGTTAACTCACGTTTCAATTTCAATTTTTCTAGCTAGCCAAGAAGTACAGTATTTCCAGGGGAGTATTTCCTCCCAACAGCAGTGTAAAAAGCTTAAAACAACCCTTCCCCTTTAAGAAAAAAAAAAGTCCTTCGGAGACAGTAAGTCTAGGTTGTCTGCCAAGAATGTAATACGGGTGGAAAAAAACAAAAGGAGATTTCTTCTAACTACAGGTTCTGGGAACTGCTTAGAAAGTTAACAAGGGGTTCTATAGAACCAGTCAGAACCAGTAGAATCCCACCCCTGTATCTGCCTAATCCTTCTGTCTCTCAATGCAGGTTGTTCTCTACATTTTGTCCCACCTGGTGTTCCTCCTCACCAACCCTACTGCCTCTCCAGCTTGGAAGAGGTTGAACAATTGTGGGGATGGACTAGATTGCTTCTGATGGGCCCTAGGGAGGAAAACCCCAGGATCCACTTTTCTGTCTGATGCTACAGAGGTTTGTGGACTCTGAATTCCAGAACCTCCATTCAGAGATGGCCGCCTAAGACTGAGAAGATCTCAGCAAGTCTAGTTGAGGACTTCAAAGGGCCCTCAGCCCTTAATGGAGTATCACCATGCCTTCATGGCCACCTGCAGTTAGGGATTCACCTTCTGGTTGTCTTCTGTCCATAAGTCACCACTGATCAATCCAGGCCACCACAGTTTTCTCAACCAATAGGCTTCTCAACCAAAGAGTTCAGGCCTACACATTGTCTATATCCTGAACTTGTGACATGGAAAGCAGTCCCCAAATGTTTGTTTCCTGCTGCTGAAAAAGCGAGAGGACTCACCAAAATGAAGTTCTTCTAGGAATTAGCATGTTTGGTCCTCACCAAAGAAAGACCAACTGGCTGTCCCTAGGCTCTACAAAGCACTTTGATTGTCTGTAGCGCCACCAGATTCCTCGACAGAGCTCCGAAAATCCATATCTTCTGATATTCCAGGTGTCCAACTCATCTCCAATTCTGTGGACCTCCAACTAGACAACACAAAGCCTTGAGGAACATCTATAGATAACTCCTGGACCATTGCTTTGTTTGTAATTGGAAGACTTTGGGGTGGGTTTTTTTTTCTTATATACTAAGAAGAGCAGTGTGAATTTTTTTCACACAAATTTTGCACTTTCACACCAGTGACTTTTTCTAAACTGTAATATAATCCCATCTCTGCCACATGTTTATTACCACTAAAGGGTGGGCTCGCCCTACCGCTAGTTTCTTCCTGCTTCAGGACTCTGGAGGCTCGGTGCTCCTCCTCGGTGCTCCCCGGAGCTGATGCCCAACGAAAGCAAAACAAGCCGGCATTAGCAAATTTGGAATTGCAGTTCAGCCGAACCGGAGACTCCTGGCCAGAGACGGAGAACGGCTTGCCAGATCGATGTCTGGCCATCCAGAGGGAACCATGGAGGATTGAAGCTGCTCTGGGTGGAGCTGAGCCATGTAGAAACGACTTTGACAGGCAGGAGAAATGCGCACAGGGACTCGGAGGTAACTGCAGTCTGACTGGCTGGGGAGAAACATTACATGAATGTCCAACGGAGGCAGATTTGATTTTGATGATGGAGGCTGTTATGTGGGCGACTGGGAAGAGGGCCGGGCACATGGCTACGGGGTGTGCACAGGCCCGGGAGCCCAGGGGGAGTACAGCGGGCGTTGGAGTCGCGGCTTTGAGTCTCTGGGCGTTTATACTTGGCCCAGTGGGAATACCTACCAGGGCTTCTGGAGTCAAGGCAAGCGCAGTGGCCTGGGCACGGAGCGGAAGAGCAAGTGGAGTTACAAGGGGGAGTGGTGCCATGGGCTGAAGGGCCACCTGGGCATCTGGGAAAGCCACTCGGGAGTTGTCTACGAAGGCATGTGGCGTGAAGGTCTTCAGGATGGCTACGGGATGGAGACCTACACGGACGGAGGTGAGTCAGGAGAAGAGGCCGAGAAGAGGGTTGGGGGCTGGACTGTTGTTCTTGGTCTGTTGGTCCTGACATCGTATCTGTCTTCTGATTGTCCACTTGGCCCATGACATCATGTCCCTGTCCAGTTCTCCTCTGTAAGTCTGTTGAGGGGCAATTGGAGAAGAACCCGGGTTCTTTCCATCTCTCCGCACACTTTTCGTTCCCCATTGCTTCATACCTTTGTCTAGATTCTCCTCTAGCGTACCACCTTAGGACATCCATTGTCCTAAGTCAAGGGGTATCAAACTCAAGGCCCAATGAATCCAGCCCATGGGGTGCTTAAATCTGGCCCACGGAGCCAGCCTGGAAATATCAAAGGACCGGCCTGCGGGGCCTCTGTGGTGTCCCTTTCTGGCCAGAAGAGTTCTGCAGGAGGTTGTGAAGGCTGTAAATGAGCTGCACAGGGGCCTTGCATGGTCCCCTGTGCCTCGTTTTGGCCAGCAGGGTGCTTTAGGAGGTGTTTGTCCCATCTCCCCTCCCCTCGCTGGCCCATGGAGGAGAACTACAATGCTCATCCAGCCCTCAAAGAAATCCAGTTGGACACCCCTGGTCTAGATGTCCTGCCAGGTGCTGAAGTACCACCAGTGGTACACATACCACACATTGAAAAACACTGTCCTAAGATACTGGTGGTGATGGTTGTGCTGATAGTGGTTGATGGTGATGCAGTCCATAGAAAGTGGGCCAGATTTCTCCATAGACTTTTCATTCCCCCTTACTCCATTTCCTCATCTAGATGTTCCTCCACCACACCATCTGTGTGTCCTAAGTGGTGGTGATGGTGATGTGTCCCCAGAAAGTTGGTCAGATTTCTTCATGCACTTTTCATGCACCGTTGCTTCATCTCTTCATCTAGATGTTCCTCTAGAGCACCATTTCTCTGTCCTCAAGATAATGGGTGGAGGTGATGATGGTGAGGGTACTGTGGTTCTTTGGACCTCTCTCACACACTTTTTGTACACCGTTGCTTTGTTTCTTCATCTAGATCAGTGGTTCCCAATCTTTTTCAGTCCACTGCCCCCTTGGTGCTACAAACTCATCCTCAATGCCCCCCCCAGGGACAGGATTCAAATTTCCGTGGGCATGGCCTAATTTGAGGGTGTGGTTTGCTGGTCATGTGACTGGGTGGGCATGGCTTGCTGGTCACGTGACTGGGTGGATGTGGTTTAGTGACTGGCAAACCAAATATAAGTGGGCCTCACTTAATGGCCAGTTGCTCGGCAAGTGTTCTAATTTATGACTGGCCTCCCCAGAACTACTTGACCTGTTTTTGGAATTTTGACAGCCATACACACACACACACACACACACACACACACACACTCACACACACACTCCCTTCTAACCCTGCTGGAGCAGGTCATTGGACTAGAATTGGCAAAGCATCTCTGATTAGATTCTAGTAGTGAATAGAATCTAATCAGAGATGTTTTGCCAATTCTTGTTGCTTTGTTTCATTTGTATTTCTTTATTTTATGTTGCTGAATTGCATTGACATGTGTGTCCCTTCTTGTGCACACCCCAGAAGCTTTTGTGATTCTTTGCAGCAAAAATTACCGACCTCTGGCTTTGCTCTACTTTTCAAATGTGCCATCACTGCTGCATTCTAGGTATCGGCCTTGCAGGTTCACCCCATTGAGCCCGCTGCACTGGAGGGACCTGCCCAAGCAAGTCCAAGTGGAGCGGTGCACCAAATCAATGGGGTGAGCCTGGGAGAGGGAAAGAGAGAGAGAGGAGAGAAAGAGAAAAGGAAGAAAAAAAAAAGAAAAAAGGGAAAGAAAGAAAAAGGGACAAAGAAAGAGGAGGGAAATGGAGGTGGGAGAGGGAGAGAGGGAGAGACTTGATGCATCAGATTGAAATGAGGCCTAGTTTAGAGGCCCTTTTCCATATTGAAACATCTTTGCCAGCATCTTTGCCAGCACATTGAAACATCTTTGGCTTCTATTAATTAAAAGTTTTGTGGATGAAACATGGCCAAGACTATCAGGAAGCTCTTGCATTTTGTTGAGGCTTTAAACAGGATCCATTGGACCAGACCTTCACCCTAAAAAATTACTTTTCCCCACTGTATTACAGTGCCAATTCTGAAGAAGGCAAAACCAAAATGTACTGGTAAATTACAAGGAGAACACACAGAAACACACACACTCCCTTCTAACCCTGCTGGAGCAGGTGATTGGACTAGAATAGATATTATATTTCTCCTCCCTCCCACCCTCCCTCTTTATTTCTTTTTCTTTCTGTCCCTTCCTTCCCTTCCCTCCCTTTCTCTGTCCCATTTTCTTTCTGTCCCTTTTCTCTTTCTCTTCTTCCTTCTCTTTCTCTCTCTCTCTCTTTCCTCTCTCTTTCTCTCTCTCAGGCTCACCCCATTGACTTCATGCACCATTCCGTTCGAACTTGCTTGGGCAGGTGCCTCTGGTGCAAGGGGCTCAATGGGGTGATCCTGCGGGGCCTCGCCCTGAACGCGGTGGCAGCGGGATGTTTGAAAAGGAGAGCAAAGCCACTCTGGTTTGCTCTCCTTTCCCAATGCTGCATTCGGGGTGAGGCCCCACAGGATCACCCCATTGATCCCCTTGCACTGGAGCATGCAAGTCAATGGTGTGATCCTGCGGGGCATCACCTTGAATGCAGTGGCAGGATTTTTTCTCACCCCTGAATTGTGCCCTGTGAGAGGCCCACCTCCAGCGCCACCCTGCCACCTCTTAGTGCCCCCTTGCTGCCCCCCTTGCCTCTTAGCACCCCCCTAAGGTATCCCACCCCCCCAGGGGGTGGTACCGCCCACTTTGGGAACCACTGATCTAGATGTTCCTCTAGAACACCATCTGTGTGTCCTAAGGTAATGGTGGAGGTTATGGTGGTGGAGATGGTTGTGGTGGTGATGGTGATGACGATGCCAATGGTGGTGACAGTTCTTTGCACCACTCTCAAACACACTGTTCATACACTGTTGCTTTGTTTCTTCATCTAGAGACCTGATGGCGAACCTATGCCATGCGTGCCGGAAGTGGCACGCAGAGCCATTTCCCCCAGCACGCAAGAGCTCGCCTGGAAGAACTCCATTGCACGTGCACACGTGCCACCACCCGACAGCTGATTGTCGGGTATCTGGTGTCCTTGCGCTGGGGGTGGGCGGGAGACACACTCGTGTGCACAGAGATGTGCAGAGCACACTAGGGGTCACGGCCGCATGCGCTGAGATGCTCAGTGCTTGGAGGGATCGCATATGCATGCACAGATGGATGGCGCATGGGAATGATCCCGTGCGCAGGTACAGACGCGTGGTGCACGACAAGGGGAATCGTGCGTGCAGGCACAGGGGGTATGGGGTGGGGCCAGCACGCATTGCCTTCTGAGTGCTGGCACACGAGCACACAAGTGCACACGCAATTATCAGCATGGGATCTGAAAAAGATTTGCCACCACTGATCTAGAGGTTCTTCTGCCACACCATCTATGTGTCTCAAGATAAGGGTGGAGGTGATGGTGGTGATAGTGATGGTGATGGTTGTGGTGAGTGAGGATGATGCAGTCCATAGAAAGTTGGTCAGATTTCTCCATATACTCATCCTTGCTCCATCTCTTCATCTACTGGCAGATGTTCTTCTAGAACACCATCTCTTTGTGTCCCATGACAGGAGGTGGTGATGATGATGGCAATGATGATGGCAATGGTGGTGACACTTCTTTCTACTTCTCTCTCACACTGTTCACACACCGTTGCTTTGTATCTTCATCTAGATGTTCCTCTAGTCTAGAACACCATCAAGATAATGGGTGGAGGTGGTTGTGATGTGGGTGATGTGGCCCATAAAAAGCCAATCCAATTTCATCGTAGAGTTTCAAACTCAACTGGGCTATAAAATGTAGCAAGTTTTCACACACACATTGCACGCCCTCTTCAAGCAACCCTAACTCCTTTAAACATGGGAATAACCAACTAATCTTGTAAAACCTTGAAAGAACAGTAGGAGGCAAACCAACACCAATGAAGTCCCATCCATGACATTTAACCACCCTGTTTTCAAAATTGAAACCCTGGGGTCTTCTGGGGAAGGCACTCCTGTGTAGGTCCTTGAACCTCACCCATGACTTTTCTCCGTGGTCTCCAACACAAACATCTGGGATTCTTGATCCAGTTTCTATACACCAAGACGGTTCTTCCTTCTTGGTAGGTCTGAGAAGGCTTGAGTTGTCCTCTTCAGCTGGACCACTTTGTTGGAATGTCCTTCATCTTCCTTGGTTGACCTCACCTTTCCCTCCATTGTAGGTACTTACCAAGGCCAGTGGCAGTCCGGCAAGCGTCATGGATATGGAGTGCGCCAGAGTGTCCCGTATCGACAAGCCACCCTGGTGCGCTCCCCACACCGGACCTCACTGGAGTCTCTCCACAGTGAGGCCAATCACAATGCCCTTGTGGTACCTCTCCCTTCTTCGCTGTATCCTTCACCACTCCCTGGGGACAGCCCCGCCTCAGGGTCCAGGGGTGGCTTTGTCTTAGCTTTCCCTGGAGATCCAGACTTCCCCAAGGGGACCAAGAAGAAAAGCGGAGGGTTCTTCCGGCGTTCCTTGCTCCTGAGCGGGCTAAGAGTGCGGAGGGCCGAGTCTAAAGCCTCTCTGGGCAGCAAGCGAGGGTCCCTCAAGAGTGAGGCAGGGGTCAGTTCAGTGGGAAGCGAGGCCACCACCCTCAGCTATGCCGAGATTGAACCTCCTGAGCTGCCTTCAACTCTGACCATTGAAGGTTCTTCCACTGAGGTCTACGCGGGAGAATGGCGGGCTGACCAACGCAGTGGCTACGGGGTGAGTCACCGCTCCAACAGGCTGCGGTATGAAGGTGAGTGGCTGGGGAACCGGCGACATGGATATGGGCGCACTACCTACCCCGACGGTTCCAAAGAAGAAGGGAAGTACAAGCTCAACCGGTTGGTGAGTGGGAAGGTGAAGAACCTCATCCCACTTCGACGGAGCAAAGTCAAAGAGAAAGTGGACCGAGCAGTTGAGGTGGCCCAGACAGCGGTCAGCATGGCTCGTCAGAAGCAAGAATTAGCCATCACCAGGTAAGAAGGGGAACTAGGAATGGGGGTTGGGAAAGAGTACAGAGGGCAGCACATTCCTACAACCCTCTCATTGATGGTTTCACTCAATGGTTGACATGGAAGAAGATTAACTTGCCTTGAAGGAATCTTTAAAATGTGGGTGGAGAATGATTGAGTCAATGAGTTATCCTCACGAGACATCTGTGAACATCAGAAGATGTTCTTCTTCCATAGTCTAGACCAGTAATGGTGAACCTTTTTGTTGTGGTGTGCCGGCACCCACAATGCAATGCGCCCCACCCCACCTGCACATGCATGTGCAACACCCTCGCCCTGTCCACTTACCTGCACTGTGCATGTGCGTGCCTCCCAGCTGATTTTTGACCCATTTGAGGCCGTTTTCGCCCTCCTGGAGGCTCGAGGGAAGCCTCTGCAGCCTCAGGAGGCCGAAAAACGGGCCTTCCGGAAATACTGGAAGTGCCCGTTTTCAGCCTCCAGAAGGCTTCTGGAACCCGGGGGAGGCCGTTTTCGCCCTCCCGGAGTC